CTGCAGTATTCTGTGATCTGAGTAAAGCATTTGACTGTGTTTCACATGGTCTACTTATTGAAAAACTGATAGTGTACAATTTCAGCTACGAAAGCATTGAACTAATAAAAAGTTATCTGTCCAATGATTTTAAGTTTCACTCGGACATCTTCGAACAAATTAGAATCAGAAACTCTTATTTCTGTAGCATTATGGAATGAATCACCGCCTGGTGGCCTATATATATATATATATTCACCACGCAACATTTTTTATTGATTGATATTGCAGAGCATTCCATTATATTTTCAATGGAATAATTATTTAAAAATCCTACTGATTCAGAATACGAGACTAGATCATTTCTTACAAATTCAAGATACATATATGTTGTTGATTATTGCTTTCTAGCACACTTATTATTTCGAATGTCCTTAGCCCTAGTGTCAACGACTTGGAAACATTTGGTGCAGTGTTAAAGCGATTGTTTCGTTCTTTTCTAAGATCTTCAAATGATTTAAGATAAATATATGAGGTTGATCAATGCCAACTGGCACACTTATCATTTCGAATGTCCTTACCCCCGAGTCAACGACCTCATCTTGTTGAATCGTCAAATTGGTTTATCTAGATAGCTTTTTTAAGCCTTTTTATGAAGACTTTGAAAGAGATTCCTGGGTATTCTTTCTGTTTACAAGAATAAGGACAAGATTTATAGAATCATTGGTAACATTTTGTGGGCAAACAAAGCTTTGTCAAGTGACTTCACTTTCAAAAACTACAACTCAAGATTTGATCTCCATGAACTTTATTTGAAAAATCACAACATGTTTCGCTAGCACCATAGCTTTGTCAAGTGATTTCACTTGAATAATTTCTCGTTGGTCTTTTTGATCTTCCTTTTTTGTATGTAATACGGGGTCTGCTCAAAAAATAAGGTGAAAGTTTTAATACGGGCTACATACATTCGATTGGCCATTTTTTTATGTTGGTACACTGTTTTGCATGTTTACTGTTGAGGCAGAGGCAGAGGCATAAAAGAAAGTATTTTGCGTGTTCGGCGATTACCTACTATCGAAAAAAAAAAGGTTAGAGAATTTGCATCAGGACGCCCGGGCATATAAACAACCAACAAAAATGTTGAAGAAGTGAAGAAAATTCTTACGAAGAATCATCGAATCACCATAAGAGGAGTTGCCGCGGTTGTCGGCTTATCGGTTGGCTCATGCCATGCAATTTTTTCGAAAATTTTGGACATGAAGCATATGGCAGCAAAGTTCGTGGTTCACAGCTTGCGAGAAGCAATACGGAGAACACGTCCGGTATTATAGAAAAACAATTCATGGCTTTCGAATCACTATTATGCAACTGCTCAGTCATCATTGCTTATTCGTGATATTTCAACCGAAACTAACACCGTAATCATGCCTAAGCCACCGTATTCACCAGATTTGCATCCCTGCGACTTTTGACTGTTCCCAGGATTGATGAGACCCATGAAAGGAGGCGTTTTGCAACGATTGAATAGATAAAAACGTAATCGCTGAGAGACCACAAGGACATAACAAAAAGTGCATATCAGAGCATCTTCGAGGATTATAAAAAACGCTGGCAGAAGTGTAATATATCTGAGTGGGACAACTTTGAATGGAACGAAATAAAAATGGATTCATAAATAAATATATTTAAGGCCCATGTTGAAGTCTTGGTTGTTTTTGGAAATATGGCGATCTGTTTCACCAGAATCATCTAATCAAATTTTGTAAGAAGAAGAAGTATTGGAAGAAGTCCTCTTGGACGACATTGAAATATGGAGCAATACATTGGAGCACTTAGAGACAAAAAATCACATAGGCTTAAAACATTATAAGTATAGATGAAACTTATCGGAGTTTATTAGCGTATTATGTTGGAAGGCAGACCTGTGAATATGTATAAAAAAAGCGATTCATTTCCAAGAGGAGAACCCAGTTACAGAGTATATATGGAATAAATATTAAAAATTAGTGAATGTAGAAATGTATAAAAGTAAATGCTAAAACAAAGTATATATAAAATAGTCGTATAGGTAGCATTTCAAACAGGAATGAGAAATTGAGTATATAACACGAAAAGTTACAAATCATGCAATGTAACAGTACTGACACGAGAAATATTTATAGTATTATTATGATTGTTCATACAAGATACCAAGGCATTCAGAGAATCGAAATGAATGTCGCAGTGTTCACAGATTTTATTGAAGCTACTGCACATAAAATTCAATGGTGATCGTATCATAATATTTGTGCGTGATGCTTCGCAATAGAATTACAGATTGTGTCG